AACAAACTGTTTATTAGCATTGTCTTCTACGATAATTTATCTACACAACCATATATGGCATGCATGTCTTTGTTTTCATTTATCTCCGTAAACAGCGTCAAAACTTTGAAAGTCGAACACAATTATGAAATGGTATGTGCTAATCTCAGACAAATCTAATGTATATAAAGGTTGATCACAAATTAAAAACTGCTAAGGCACCTCCGAGGTAATCTTAATGAAACATATACTAAATTATATATATTATAAATACATTTTTTGAGCGGCATTGACCTCTTGTGAATAACCCAGGCACGTAGGATATGACCACCTCCCTCCTTTCCATTTTTTAATTCCTAAAGCTAGGTATGAGTAAACTTTTTCCATTTTTTTTTTAATTTTAACTCCACCCTATATGTGCACGTTGATTTAATCGAAATATTTAGTAATCGGAGGCAAATAAAGAATAATACTTTCGTAAAAATGGAAATCTGAAAAGGAAAAAAGAGTGTTTTTCAAATTTATCAATGTCTGCATATTCCATGATTCTCTACGCTTTAGATAGTGATTATGCAAGTGAAGATTGTGAGGCAGACGTCGAGAATTTTAAAGCCATATATGGCGTATGTACACTGAAAATCATTAGAGAAAAATTATAACAACTTATTATTTGTATCAATACTTTAAATAAAGATATAACTTTTCTGTAAATTACAAAATGTAAGTCAATTGCGTTATAAAGATATCACAATTTATTTTGGATTCTCGGAATTTTCTCCGATACGGAAGAAAATACAAGATATTTAAATAACGCATTACTGAGAAGATAAAATCGAATTTTTAGATGAAACAAGGTGTTTTCGTGCTCAGAATTGTGTGAAAAGTTTTAATTTAAATGTATTAACTATTTTTCTTTACTTAATTTTGTATTTTTCAAAAATATATTTTTTTGATCAGTTACGCCATATATGGCTTTAAACAAATTGCAAGCCGTCTCTTTTTATGTATCAGTTGAGAACGAAAAACATGGTATTTAAAAACAGCATAAAGAGATAAAAGGGTAACATTATTAATAACATGCAATACGTATTAAACGTATTAAAATCCAAAATAGGGAAACCCCCAGAAAAACAGAAAGGGGGGGGGGGTCAATACTCCAATTGCCTGTGTAAGTAACTGCACGCGTTGTTGCTAGTTACATGTAGAAATTTTATTCGCTGCGTTGCTTTCAATGTTCATTCAGTAGAATTAATGTTATATGTATACAATGAAAGTCTAAGAACAAAATAATATCTGCCTGTTTATTGTGCCAAATAAAATTAATGTTTAAATTATCGTCCAATTTACCCCTCTAAATTCCATTTACGTACGCATTTTTTCTATCCTTATACGTATATTATTTTAGCTAGGCCTATTTGCTGCCTCTTTGTAAACAAAAACATTTTCAATATAAACACTGAATGCATTAATACTCATATTCGGGGGGGGGGGGGGGGTATTTGGCGGAAATTGATTCAGAAGTTATTGGTATTTGGCGGAAATTGATTCAGAAGAAGTTATTGTTGATTTGATACCCTTGCTGAATTTTATAACGAAAAAGGATGTATACAAAGCGTACGTAACAACATATTTCGGGGTTGAGGGTTGGGGATATTAGTAGTCCTTGACTTCTAAATTATCTTCATACCTACGACTTTTCAAACAAACTTAGATCACAGATCTGCGATTTCAACAGAGATGGAGAGTCTGCCTTTTCCAAAGGGGGGGATACAAGGTCACTGTTATTTTCCGAATTCCGGCGAGAATTCGCGCATGAATAAAAAGAAACGGTAGGAATAAACATAAAGAAAATAAAAAAAAAGAAACTAAAGGACTGATTGTTGGTTTACGCCGTTTACGTGAATTTTCACTAAAATTACACGGTAGACATAATAAGCTGAAAGTGAAAAATGTCTAATAGTTATTTTATTGAATTATTAATATGATACTGGTCATTTGAAAGCAGATATACATGAATTTCCTTTTTCTTAAAATCCGTATAATTTTTTTTGTGCTCTGTATACCGGGTCGATATTCACGACGTCAAGCGATACGTCGCGATATTTTATGACGTTGTTCTTAAAAATGCTACATATGTCAATATAAGAGCAAATATCTACAATTTATTTACGAAAAAATGAACCCGAAGACATATTAATTATTTTACATAGATTTATATCAAATAAATTCTACTTTTAAATACCAAAGGATAAACAAATTCGTCTGCATGATTTAAAAGTTATTAATATTTTTTAAATCAAAACCTTGCCTGAAAACAAGACAAAAACGACGTTTTCCCTATATAATTCAATAGAATACCCTTGAAAATGTAACTACAACAATGACATCTTTGGAATTCAATTACACGAAAACAGTGCAGACGAATTTTATAAAATTTTCAGAGAATGGAAATCAAAGGTAGAGAAATCATACAGGTAATTTTCATGGTATGTTTTCGAACACTTTTAAAAGCCCTGTAAACCCGCGACCTACGTTAAGATCATCGTCTGACAAAACTAATTGTAAAGAAATCATCAATCAAATATGGTGCAAGAGCCATAAGCACATTAGGCACACAACTGTGGAACAACCTGTCTTTAGAAATACAGGAGCTTGAAGCATATGGATCATTCCGCAAGAACCTAAAACACTCTTGTTCAAGCTGGAATATAACCTATTAATGTAAAATTCTAGCACAACATTAACAACTCCATGTGTAATCTCCGGTAAACTCAACTTCAGAAGTACTATCCTGTGTACATATAAGTTTTTATTTTCCCTCCTTTACGATAACCAATTTCATCTTACTACCGTGTTTTATATAAGTACTTCTTTGTTTTATCAATAATTGTTTTATCAATAATAGGGATGCTCACTCCTCCATGGCACCTGATCCCACCTCTGATGTTTCGGAGGTCCGTGTTTGCTCTGCACTTATTTTGTATATTTGTTTAATGGACGTTGAGATTGAATACTGTTCGTTATTTCCATATCCTTCCTTACTTCCCATATCAAATTTAAAGGTTTTATTGATATATTGTTATTAAATTTCGCAATTGTACAGCGCATAGAAACAATGTGATTTTGTGCTTTATAAATTAATAAAGTAATACTACTAATAATATTTAAAATAATAAATATCGATTGGATCAATCTGAAGTTACGTATTGAAATCAATGTGATTCCATAAAGGAAGAAAATTTTGGAATGAGGAATTCTTACTTCATACAGTGAAAGGGTTTTTAAAACCATGCCAAAAAATAAGTACATTGTAATTTATTTGTCCATTATTAGTCACTCATACGTATTGGCATACGTATATTCAGTCATAGGTATTGTCAAGTTAAACACAAATTTGCCTGTACAAAATTAAAAACACGCACATGGCTCTCATATGCCTGCAAAACTTGTTGTATCTGATTGGTTATTTTCGACAATCAGAATACAATACGTAAAAGTATGCATAAAATTTATTTAGTAATAATACAATTTAATCACAACTTTGGCATGAACACCTATAACCTAATTATCAATTAAATACAATAGTACGGCATGATCTAACTGCAACAAGAGACCAGGAATGTAAATTAAGAATTTGAACCCCCTTTCTTCTATTTGAATAATAGAGATTCGTTTCATTGGTGATAGTTTGCAGCCAAGAATGTTCATAATGTTTGATTTATAACAATCATTAATATGTTTAAAACCATGCTTGGGGACTAGTTGATGGTGTTAAAGTTAAAAATTTTTACAACACTTCGTCACTTGATAAGAATAACGAGAAATAAAAAAAATTCTTAATAATTTTTATATTAGGAGGTTTTGCACTTACTTTTGTACACAAAATTGGTATGGAAGTGCTTGCTTGCCCGTATTTATTTGACGTATACTTTTTGCTTTATGATCCATAATTTATAGTTGAAATTTTGAATATCATAAAAATATATATTTCGACGAAAATCGTTCAATATTTTTTTTAAGTATGATGAAATAATAATTACATAATATTATTTATTATATAGCCTATTTATAGTCCCTATATAATGTATACAAACGCAAACAGTTCATAATACTACATATTCACCGGATTTTAGGCCGTATTCACCGGAGTGTCAATGCACGTGCAGTTACATTGTGACGTCACAATCAAAACGTCGAACGACATTGTAAACAATGGTTGCAACAGCCGCAGCGAGCTACGTATTTATGCAGGAAAATAATTATTCAAACATATTGCAGGATTATTTTATAATATTTGGAAGTATTACACATAGCAGAACTCGGAAAGGAAAACACGGAAGTTACAAATGTAATCTGGAAATTTTTTTTCATTTTTAAGAACAGAAGATCGCAAATGAAAATGGTGTCGTCATACAGCCTTCAATGTCTTAACTATCCAAATCCCGATTATATAATATGACAATTATGGACTCTTTTGGTGTTAAATATGGTTTGTTATTCACCAGAAAAATAACCATATTGACCTCGGCTTCGGTCAATATGAATATTTTTCTGATGAATAAGGATATGGAAATAACGAACAGTATTCAATCTCAACGTCCATTAAACAAATATACAAAATAAGAGCAGAGCAAACACGGACCTCCGAAACATCAGAGGTGGGATCAGGTGCCATGGAGGAGGGAGCATCCCCTGCTGACCGGTCACACCCGCCGTGTGCTCATTGTCATAATCAGGAAATAACGGAAAAATCCGTAGTCAATTCAGTGTATAAATAATGGACTAACAATTGGTATGAAAAACGTCAGTCAGCATTTCATTCAATGATAAATTGTATTTGCTGACAAGGTCAATAACAATCCATATTCAACACCAAAAGAATCCATAATTGTATACTATAACCTTATAACCAATTATGATATTTAAAAAATATCGTTAGATTGAGTTAGATCAAAATAAGAGTAAAGCGATTGTTTGTAGAATAGATACTTGAATGAATTTTTGACAAAATATAATTTCAGATACCTATATTCCAACAAGATAACCACCATTTCAGACAACACCTTTAATGGAATGCCAAATTTACAGTTACTGTAAGTTTTTAAAAATTCATTTATTAAACATTTACTTTTCATCTGTCAGATTTTTTACAAAGATTATCTGTTAGTCAATCCCAAATTTAATGTATCATGCCTACAACTTTTTGTGCTGATTTGTGAAAAAAGTACAAAGAGGATGACAAATTTGATTCTTTTATAATTTTTTTCAATTCTAATGCTACTGTATCTTATTTCAATTTGTTCTTAATTTTTCCCCTCTGAGATTCTCATCTTCTAGGCCAAACTTCTTTCAAGATAAATTGTCTCTTCTGCTGAAAAATATAAACAAGCAAAAGAAGGATATGTGAACTCATCCTTGTTCTTTTCTTGATAAAACCTTTTTTCTTCATTGTCCACTGCCAATTCTTGATAATGTATATATCCTCTCCAACTGACCAAATGTTCTACCTTAGTATTAAGAATTCTATGTTTGCAAAGCATGGTAGGAACACCAATTTCTCGCACATCCTTTTTTTCAATTAGCACTGTGATACACTGCAAATATATCACAAGGAATATATCAGTTTTGTTTTTTAAAGAATTTTGACAGCGTACTTAGTATGACACTGTCCCCTTCAACAAAAGGGACATTCAAACAACCATGACTACTGTCCCTATTTTGAACGCTTTTAAATAGCCAAGTACTTATGAAACGAGAGCTGAAATGGAAATTTCACCAATATTTTTTTATAAAGTAAACATTCGGTGAAAACAAATTGAGATTGCTCTGCTTTTTTTTTTTAGGTTTCCCGTATTTTGAAGGACTTTAAACTAGTCCGTTATCTGACGCCTTTTCTTATAGTAAGCCTTAACAGTGCTGAGTAAAGTCATTGTAAATTGGTTCTGAACATTGTCTTGTAATAAAAACAAATCATAATAACTGATGTAAAATAACACTTAGGAAATCATAATGTAACAAAAACCTACGAAAAAGATAAAATATCTTTTTTTAAGACACAAATGTGGAATTATGTTAATTTATGATATCCCTAGAAAACGATAGTAAACAAAACAATCCCTGAAACATTTGTATTTTCCATTATTCAATTCGCGCACTATTCGTTAAGCGTTCGTTTAAATTTTTGCGTTTAGAGTTCACCATGCGCTGGCGTCCACCGTTCATGGAGCGTTCACCGTTTGCTTTTTCAGCGTTCAGCTTGCATAAATGTTCACAGATCGTTTATTCTTCATTGTCATTTGGAACTCTAATGTGGTAGGATTTATCTTTGTAAAGGGGAAAAGGCGTGAAAAAGGGTTTATTTTTTCTTAAAGCATCATTCTATAGTTATTTTTTTATTTACCAATTGATAATATGTCGAGTGATTTTTTTTAACAGAAATGTTGTTCGTGGTATTTTCAGTAAGTACAATGTTACATGTACATGATTTAAATTTAAATACGGTATCAATGTACAATTTTGATACGTAAAGAACTGAAAACCAAAGAGGTGATTATCCAGGTCACTTCATTAACCACCTGCTTATTTTTTATAAAAATATACATTTCTTACATTATTTTCAGTCAATATATAAATATACGTACATGTTAAAATAAATTCACTAGAAAATGCAACTATTTTAGGATTCATGCATCTAGAACCATACCCCTGAACAACTGGAAGCAGCGTTTAAACTTATCTAAATATGTGCGTCAGATCACTGCAAAGGAAAGACCAATAATTCATCATTTGAATTAGATATTCAGCTGATTCAATTACAGTTTTAACAACGCTCAATTATAATAAACCCTTATCCATTGCTTGTAGTGTAAAAATCATTTTGGTAACCAAAAACCGTGGAAGCATTCGATTCATTATTTAACATATTGTTTAAAGCTGCAAATTTATTGATGTGTCCAATTAAGACCCAATATCCTTTATTAAGAATGGATGAATTTTAGAAACAACCTGCTAGGTTTTTACACTTGGCTAGCGGTCATTGGCAGGTCATGTTAGACCTTGAAGATATAGACAAGATAGTTTTCGGTTTATGTACAACTCGTAGGTTCTGCCAATCCAAGATCATACCATTTTACTGTCAATTCTTGTTTAGGAAGATGTCTTCTATATGAACGGGTTATTATAAGGAAACATTTATTTCTTCTTAGCTGTCAGGGTTATTGGTTTTACACTTACGACATAAGCTAGTAAACACCAAACAATCGTACCAATGTAAGAGAAGATGATGTGGAAAAATGTTGAAAGCCAGCAATATTTTTTTCTCTTTTTATATCGACCTTTTTGTCTTCATGTGCAGCATTTTCTTTTAAATATACATGGCTAGTACACTTGAGAAGAAAAATGCACTTGTTATGGTCTTCGACTCGACATTTATATATATCGAATACGTGCTATCGATTAAAAGTATTAACTTCCAATAGTATGTTGATTCAATATGTCCCTGTGAGCCTGAAATGACATATATTGCGGAAGCTAACACATCTGCTTCATTTTTGGATATTTTATTTAAAAAATGTTAATGGTAACATAATAAACAAGTTGTTTTAAGATAAACGCCATTTTTTTCAACTTTTTAATCGTCAACACTTTTACTCATGTAGTAATATACCATTGACACATGCGTAAGGGGCTTATGTCCCTCAGTTAATTCGATACGTAAGAGCATATTTTAATAAGAAACAACTCATAGAACAGGGTAATGTTTTGACAAACAAGTTGATGAAACAAGAATTTCAGCCGACTCATTTAAAGTAATTATTTTGCAATTGATTAGGGATATCAACAAATAGTCGACTTTTCAACTATCAGTAGAATGGACCGACAGTCGAATAATACAAGGACATCCAATATTAAATAAATGTCAGAAATAGAGTTGAAATGGACATTCTCATCTCAAAAGTAAATTAAACGTCATTCCTCAAACCATTGTAGTATACGTTATCAGATGAATAAGAGCTCAAACGCCTCATACTATTAAACAAATAATTTTCCCTTTTGACCTCATGGAAAGTACAGTTAGTAATTATATACCGCTATAATCATTCTCAGTTCCTGTCATTTTTGTTCTTGTAGTAAATTATGCAGGTCCAAAATTGACTTTGAAAATTATTTATTGGACTTGTACCAAGTGTAAATTTATAGGTACATCTATGAATGTTGAAATGCTAGGAAAACACCATAGCCGTAACGTTTTGAAACTTCGATAAATATCATAACAATTATCTTACATGTCATTGCCGGGGTAATTACTAACTGAACAAGCCGTATTTGAACAAACTTGTGGATAGGATATGGAAATAACGAACAGTATTCAATCTCAACGTCCATTAAACAAATATACAAAATAAGAGCAGAGCAAATACGGACCTCCAAAACATCAGAGGTGGGATCAGGTGCCATGGAGGAGTGAGCATCCCCTGCCGACCGGTCACACCCGCCGTGTGCTCGTTGTCATAATCAGGAAATAACGGAAAAAATCCGTGGTCAATTCAGTGTATAAATAATGGATTAACAATTGGTATGAAAAACGTCAGTCAGCATTTCATTCAATGATAAATTGTATTTGCTGACAAGGTCATTGTATCGACCATAGAATTTACGAAATGATGACTTTAAACGAGACTGTTGATATTCTTGTTTCATCAACTTGCTTGTCAATAATTTACCTCGTTTAAGAAATTGTTCATATGTAGAGCATGCTCTTGCGTATCGAATCAATTGAGATATAAATATTCCGTATGCAGGTGATGAAGGTATATTGCTGCATAAGTAAGGGAAGTTGACGATAGAGAAGTTAAAGTCATCACGTTTATCATATAGCTTGGTTGTTAGATACCCTTAGTGTCTTTTTCAAGTAAAATATCCTAAAATGAAGTAGAAGTGTTGGACTCTGTAGTATCTTTTATCTCAAGCTCACCAGGATATATCGTGTCGACGTAAGAATGGAAACTATCATTATTAATTGACAATCCGTCAACGATATACCTAAATGTACGGAACAAGTCAAATTATGGAGGAGTGCATAGCGAGTGTCCGAACCTGGATGACTGTAAACAAACTCAAATTGCAGGATGCAAAAACCGAGATAATGATGATCGCCAGTGCTCATAACCAGTACCGTTTTAAGGACATTCAGCTGAAGATTGGTGACGCAATAGTGACATATCAATCAACTGTTAAAAACCTCGGTGCTGCCCTGAATGCCACCTTATCAATGGAAACACAAGTCAACTCCATGGTAAAAAAAAAGATCTATTTCAACATTAGGAGAATCTCCAAGGTGAAAAAACATCTCACCCAGGAAGCGTGTTCAAAGGTCATCAATGCAACAGTCGTATCCCATCTCGACTATAACAATATCCTTCTGCTTGGCTTAACCAATCGGACCATGTAACGAATACAAGTGACTCAGAACAATGCTGCGCATTGTCTCACAAAAACATGCCTCAGACAACATATAACGCCAGTACTTCAACAACTGCACTGGTTGTCTGTAAAACAACGTGTTTTGTTTAAAGTGCTGACTACCATGCACAGGTGTCTGCACTCCTCCTCCGCATCATCATATATGAGAAAGTTATGCCCTACTTATCAGCCACAAAGGACTTTAAGATCATCATCTGACAAAACTAATTGTAAAGAAATCATCAATCAAATATGGTGCAAGAGCCATAAGCACATTAGGCACACAACTGTGGAACAACCTGTCTTTAGAAATACAGGAGCTTGAAGCATATGGATCATTCCGCAAGAACCTAAAACACTCTTGTTCAAGCTGGAATATAACCTATTAATGTAAAATTCTAGCACAACATTAACAACTCCATGTGTAATCTCCGGTAAACTCAACTTCAGAAGTACTATCCTGTGTACATATAAGTTTTTATTTTCACTTCTTTACGATAACCAATTTCATCTCACTACCGTGTTTTATATAAGGTCCTTCTTTGTTTTATCAATAATTGTTTTATCAATAATAGGGATGCTCACTCCTCCATGGCACCTGATCCCACCTCTGATGTTTCGGAGG